TAGTAGTAGTAGTAGTAGTAGTAGTAGTAGTAGCAGCAGCAGCAGCAGCAGCAGCAGCCGCAGCAGCAGCAGCAGCAGCAGCAGCAGCAGCAGCAACAGCAGCAGTAGTAGTAGTAGTAGTAGTAGTAGTAGTAGTAGTAGTAGTAGTAGTAGTAGTAGTAGTAGTAGTAGTAGTAGTACAGCTGAATACCTACATCGGCATCTAGACCTACATCGGCATCTGCACCTACAGCTACATCTACATGTACACATGCATATACATCTACATCTGCATCTACATCTACAACTGCACTCACATATACATCTACATCTACACCTACATCTACACCTACATGTACATCTACATCTACATCTACACCTACATCCACATCTACACCTACACCTACATCACAATCTACATATACACTGCCGCATTGAGTTTGCTGTTGCTGTGCGTTGCCTTTGTTATTGCTCTTGCCTTTGCGTTTGCCTTTGCTTTTGCGTTTGCTGTTGTTGTTGCTGTTGAGTGTGCTTTACTTTCGCGTTGCTTCTGCTTTGCTTTGCTGTTGTTGCTGTTGCTTTGACTTGGCTTTGATGCTATGCTATTATATGCTATGATATGTTACGCTATGATATGATATGCTATGGTATAATATGATATGATATACTGCGCTATGCTGCGCTATGCTGCGCTATGTTATGCTATGCTATGCTAGGGTATGCTAGGCTGCGCTATGTTATGCTAGGCTATAATATGTTAGGCTATGCTGCGCGATGCTATGCTATGATATGCTATGCTGCGCTATGATATGTTATGCTATGCTGCGCTATGCCATGCTATGCTAGACTATGCTATGATATGATGTGCGGCGCTATACTATGCTATGCTATGCTGCGCTATGCTATGCTATGCTATGTTATGCTATACTATGCTGTGCTTTGCTGCGCCATGCTATGCTATGCTAGGCTATGCTATGCTATACTATGCGATGCTGCGCTATGTTATGCTATGCTATGCTATGCTATGCTGCGCTATGCTATGCTGCGCTATGCTATGCTATGCTATGCTATGCTATGCTATGCTATGGTAATGGTGCGCTGCGCTAAGCTGAGCTAAGCTAAGCTAGGCTAGGTTAAGCTAAGCTCAGCTAAGCTAAGTTAAGCTAAGCTAGGCTAGGCTAAGCTAAGTTAAGCGAAACTAGGCTAAGCTAAAATGAGAAAAAGCAAAGCTAAGCTAAGGGGACGCAACTGGGGGAACCGCGGGGCGGATCCTGGGGGAACCGCCCGGGGCGCATTACACTGCCCGGCCCCTTTAAGTTAAGAGAGTAAGAACCCTCTTGGCAGCGCCGCGGTAGGGAATAACTTCTCCCCGTCGCACCCCGACGCTGGTTTTTAGGGCGGGCCCAGCGTTTCGCCTGAGACTTCCTCACCATGTATGACTCTGAAGCTTAAACAGTGGCAACAACTTCACAGATGTAGGCGGGTGGTTTTCAAAATGTGGCTCTCGCCTCAGCGCCGCGCACATTCATCTTAACGAATGCAAGATTTGCACGGATTGAAGGCGGGCCGTTTTCAAAATGTGGTTCTCGCCTTAGCGCCGCGCAAATCCGTTTAACATTTATAAGGGTTTCACGGATTGAAGGTGGGCCGTTTTGAAATGTGGCTCTCGCCTTAGCGCCGCGCACATTCTCTTTTTATTTAAATACAAGAACTTCACGGATTGAGGGCGGGTGGTTTTCAACATGTGGCTGTCGCATTAGCGCTGCGCACATTCGTTTGAAACATTTGCAAACATTTCACGGGTTGAAGGCGGTTTTTTCCAAAGTGTGGCTCTCCCTTTAGCGCCGTGCACATTCGTTCTAACAGTTTGCACGAGTTATACGGGTTGCGTGCGGCTCAATTTCGAAATGTGGCTCTCGCCTTAGCGCCGCGCATATTCGTTCATAACATGTGCAAGAGCTTCACGGGTTCCCATGATCGACGTACTAGACATTGTGTTTTGAAAGGACTCAGGATTATGCGGGTGCAAGAATTGAATTGGCTCGCGGTGTTGAAGTTCCAAGAATGGCGTTCTGGCGCGATTCAGGATCGTCAAGACGCAGCAGTCAGTCTGATCCGTGGCGTTGAAATCCTGTTTCGGCATGCTTCAGGGTCTTCAAACGGTTGTCTTCCAACGAGGCAGTTCTCTCAATGGGGATGACCACTGTAGGGGCCTATGATTGAAGAGGGAGCTTGGAGGGAGGGTTTATTCCAACATCGTTGATGACTCTTGGGTTTACACTGGTCCTCCTCCTCCTCCTCCTCTTCCTCCTCCTCCTCGCTCCTGTTTTCTTTTATCGAGGGCATCAGGCCCACGACGCACGCGCACCGCGGAGCACTAAGCTGCAAAGCGGCCGCGGCACGAAAGCGCCGGCCTGTGCTCGACGCGTCGGACCGCAGGGCGTGCCACGGGGAGGAAGAAGGGGGGGGAGAACAATTATCGTGTTGGGAGGAAGGGGTTGGGAGGATGAAGGTAATGAGCAATAGCATCTGGATGCAGTGCACGATACCTTCGACCACCTACGGGTAATGATATCCCGATCTGTCCAAACCCCACTTTCCCAAGCCGAAAACTGTCTTCCCAAAAGGGGGGAGGGGAATAGGAGAGAACGCGAGGGAAGGGGGAAGGAAGGGACGGGAGGAAGAGTGGCGGGAGCAAGGAGATCAGAAGGGTGCAGGAGGAGGAGGAGGAGGAGGAGGAGGAGGAGGAGGAGGAGGAGGAGGAGGAGGAGGGGGGGAGAGAAGAGGAGGAGGAGGGAGAGAGGAGGGGAGGAGGAGAGGAGGAGGAGAGGGAGGAGGAGGAGGAGGAGGACGAGGAGGAGAAGGAGGAGGAGGAGGAGGAGGAGAAGAGAAAGGAGGAAGAGGAGGAGGAGGGGAGGAGGAGGAGGAGGAGGAGGAGCAGGAGCAGGAGCAGGAGCAGGAGCAGGAGGAGGAGGAGGAGGAGGAGGAGAATAGAGGAGCAGGAGCAGGAGGAGGAGGAGGACAAGAGAAGAGGAGGAGGAGGAGGAGGAGGAGGAGGAGGAGGAGAAGGAGGAGGAGGAGGGAGGATGGGGCACGAGAGGGGGGAAGGAGGATCTGGAAGGGGGATGAGCACCAGGGCTAACCCGAGACGCGACCACGATGCTGCAGAACTGCTCACCCTCCCGTCCCGAGAGTCCCCTCCGTCGCCGCTCCCCGCGGGCACACGCTTCTCCACGGCGCGAGTCGCCCGCCCGGCGCGGAACCGCGCGCCCCACGGCGCCCGCAATTCGGGCGGAAGCTCCGCTCGGGGGAAGAAGCTGAAGACGCAGCCAGGACGAGGATACAGTCGGGAACCTCCGAGATCCCGCGGCTCTGGAGGAGAATGTATGGGGGGCCGCGGCCATCTCGGAGCGTTCTCGGGCACACTCTGAGAGCGTCCCGGAGCGCTCCAGAACGGACCGATCCTCGTCCTTAGGTGTAACTGCTTGATTTGTTGTATGGCGCAGAGAGCCCCATTTCGAAAACTGCCCGCCATCCAGTCGTGCGCGTAACTGTGT